TGAAGCGGGAGATCGTTCGCTGCGGCGAGGCCGTCGGATCCAGAAGCCGTCAGATTTGAACGGTTCGTCACTGCGTAGCTTCGGTGGCCCCAACAGGCCTGAAGATCGTTTGCACTGGTTCAAGCCTAAGCTCACATTGGCCATGTGAGGTTTCACACGGAGAACCAGGAGGAAAGGGTGCAAAGCTGTGAAAAGCGCTACGGCGAATTGGCAGCACGCACATGACGTTGACAGGGATGCCTTGATCGTCGACATGAATCCTGTCTGTGTCGACGTGCGCCGATTCTTAGCTGCGTTGCACCATAAACACGAGGAGGGTACATGTGATGTGTGAACATACATGAACGACATACCACAAGACTTGAAAACAAGCAAGACGGAAGTTTAAAAGAAGATGAGCATGAAGTTGAACACAACGAGCTCCATGTGTTGAGCTCGTGTCCAAGAGAATAGAAAAATTGAAGTGGAGTGAGCACAGATTCTTGCGTCGAATTCCAGCCATGGAGACCTGAGTGCAGAATGCCGGGACAATTTCACGAGCTCCTTCAGCAACTCCTGGCCCAACATGTGCCCTGGCCTATAGTGCACTCAAGGTTTTTCAGAAGTTCATAGTGGCAAAGCAGACATGGCAAGATGATTTGTGTGGACACTTGCATAGTTTTGTCCAGTTGCACGAATGTATCAGGACGAAGAAGTACGGCTGCTCAAAGATCAGAATGCAGCTTTGCAAGAACAAATCATCTCCTTGAGCGTTGCGGAGGACCTCACCGAGGTGACAAGAGGTGTTGTTTGTAGAATTTGGAAAAGTGGAAGTGGCATTTTGAAAGCACAACTTTGAAAGTTCTGATTGGAGGCCATTGCTAGGATTAGAATTCAATTAGAAACATTGCAAAATTCTTGCGTGGCTTTTGGTGGCCACCAGGACGGACCATCGTTGAAAGGCAGAAACTCGCATCATAAGGGGAGTGAGAGAGTGAGCAGGGTGTCTATCGCCAGCAAGGACGTTGTGACGCTGTGCTGTTTCAGATGGCAAAGAAAGCAATTCTCAAATAGGAATCTGAAGCAAAGGAAGAAATTGGCTTACCATTCCAAATATTCTACCAGAAACTCTGATTGCAGGAGTTTCTTCCAAACGAGGAAGAGACTTATGAGGTCTTAGAGATGGAAGACGAAGTAGAGTCCATCTGTGCGATCTCAGAGAAGCCCGAAATCGACGAGCAACTTCAAGTTGACCACCAAGCAAGCACACGCAGTGCGCGCAGTCGCGGTTCAAAGGAAAGTAATCGGAATATTGCTTTCGTTGCTTGATCTGAATGAGCGAGAGAGTTTGCACAAGGCATATGATGTTGTTGTGGAATGCCCATTCCAGATGACATCATGTTCAGTCAAGTCGAGAATGAGAAGAGAGAATCATTATCAATTGAATAGCTGTAAAGGTGACAATCTGCACATTTGGAAGCCATGTAACCAGCCGTCTTCAGGTTCGGACCACTGTCTATGGGATTGGTCAAGTAGCTGCACCTGCCTTGCGAGGCGGAGACGCGTACAGCCGTAAGACCTCTTCAGTGTGCCCATGAATTCTAACCCCATAGTTGTTGGCAGGCTCATTGCTAGTAGGAGGGAAGTCATTTAGGGTGAGGCCACTGCTATTAGCTTCATTTTCAGACTGAGAGCTGAGAAAGGCTGAAAGTGCAAGATGTCAGGTCGTCCAGACGATGAACCTACCAAGTGCACTGTCACAGTCACCTGCGGGGATTTCAGTGGGGAGACAAAGCCAGCGATGCTACAGCAGGACAGATTTGGTGCGGCCTAGTATTGGCCTGAAGCTACTAGGAACGAAGGGCATCGCTACGAACGGAGCAAAGGACGCTACTAGAGGCTCCTGGCATCGCTACGAACGGAGCCTTCTTACTGGCAAGAAGCTAGGGATTTGTCCGGTGTAGGGCGGAATGTTGCCCTGAAAGGAAGTGCTTGACCTACCATTGCAAATCAGCGATGACTGGCCTTGGAAAGCGGTGATCGGGTCGCAGAAATTCACGCAGTCATGACAGCCACTACGTCCTAGCAGTTCTCAGCAGCATTTTGTTTCTCAGGAGTGGGGAGAAACTGGCGCTGATGTGTAACTTGGCGAGTCTCAATTCGCAATCACATGCAATACACACGATCTCATTTGTTCCGAACCTTTTCTTCGGAGCACGCTGCTCAGATACTTTGCATTGATCACCCTTACTGCGCACATCTGCAGCGTCATAAGAAATTGGTCCCAAATGGAGCCCGCGTGTATTGTGTGTGTGTCCACCTTAAAGGGAAAGCAAACCAGAGACCCTAATTGATTCAACTGGAAAGGTCAACCTTCTTGACTTTTGCAGAAAGCGCGGACGGCTGAAGAAGAGACTTAGCAGTTCAAGATATGCAAACTCCGCGTGGCTCCGCGTGGAATCAGCCAAACTCAGCGAACACCTCGCGGCATCGCATCGACCAAGTCCTGATGCAACACGCGCGTGGTCACTTCAAAGGCGAAACCGTATCTCACGGATACGAACAACGCGTCCGATCGCTCCGTTCGTAGCGATGCCAGGAGCCCCTAGTAGCGTCCTTTGCTCCGTTCGTAGCGATGCCCTTTGTTCCTAGCTTCTTGTTTCCTTTTTCCTTCCTTTTGTCAATGAATTCTTAAGCTCAGGCTTCTTTGTATCCCAGCTTCAATGCTGGAAGAATATCTTGAAGTGGACATCGACTCGGACGTAGGCACACTTGCCTCAGGCCGAGTGAAAACAAATTCACTCCGACAGCAGCTAGGCATCAACAGTCATCAAAGAGTGTTCCAAAAAAGGATTCAAACAGCAGTTTCAGATGCTTTGCAAGACACTGCGAAGCACAAAAACTGTCTGAACTGTTTGTGAAACACCAGCTGCCACAGTGACTCCGTCGTGTTTGTAGAACACCGACTGTGGCACCATCAAAAAACTCAGGCAATGGACATTGGAAGGCGGTGGCTTCATGGAAGCTGAAGTGAAAGTGGAGAAGGCTCATGTCGTCCACATGCCTCAGAATGCCTCATGACGGTCAGAACACCAAGAAGACTGGTCAAAGAAGTGTTTGCAGTATGAGGAGTGCGTTCCAAGCGCTGTGAACCGAGATCGTCCCTGCAGGTGAACCGAGCAACCGAAAAATTCAGGACGGATGCAGAGGAGATGCTTAGCCAATGCTTGTTTTCGTTGGAGATGGGTTGGCCAAACTAGGAGTCGTCGAGCAAGTACGACCACCAGGTTTAGAATCATTGAGAGGTGCTCTCCTTAGACACGTGATTTCAGCAACGCCGGTTTTTATGGGAGCAAGTAAAGCCTCAGTGCTTGTGCTGCAGCCCGCCCCATTTTTAGCTTTTCATTCACCGCTTCCTGTGCAGAGCTAGCCAAATGAATCTCAGATCTTGTGTGTTGCTAGAAAAGCATGAAATGTTGTTGGCTCGTGTGTCCTTTTTGTCCTTTGCCTTGTATGGCAGATCTGCACTGCCTAGGCTTGAGAAGCTCTTCAATGTCAAAGATCCAAAGGTCAAAGTTGTGATGGGTCGTGAAGCTTGGCCGAAGACTTCAGTCTGAAGAGCCGTAGGTCTAACCGTTAGACCCTTTTTTTGCACGCTCCCCCTCCTCCCTACTTAATTCAGTAGGCGCCTGCTTAATTAAGTAAGGGAGAGGTAGCTAGTACCTTACTTAAGCTACTAGTATGGATGCAGGATAGCTCACGCTAATGATTTTTTGGGAAACTTATATAGCTGCTAGCGATGGCCTCCACCCTAGTAGCGATGGTCTCCAACCTAATAGCAATGGCCTCCAAACTACTAGTTTCTTGTTACTAGTAAGAATTCTAATTTGCAAAATTTGCCGTTTGTTCTAAGGACTTGTCCAGCGCAATGCAGAAGGCTTCATCAACAGGGAAGTCCACCAGAACATCAACGAGGCAGACAACTAGATTTGAAATCACACTCGGCCCGGCCACTCGGCACAGCTTCAGTTTGGATGAGTCAATTCAAGCGATAAGAAAAATAAAACCCAGAAAAGACAAAAGGGTTCAAAGAATGTATGTATTTCTGAACTGTTTCCAATTCCTTTTCTATTTCAACTAATGTGTTGTTGGAGAAGAAAAGAAAGTACAGAAAAGTCGGCAGCTTTGGGATCTGAGGAAGAGCTGGATGAGGTCAACGGCTTAGAAAAATTTGTATTTTTCTTTGGAAGCAAGACTAAAACACTATTTTCTGTGAATCTGTACTTTCTTCTTCAGAGATGATGACCAAAAGTTCCCACTCAAAGGGAGTTCCGCCTCAGTTTCGCGGAGCAGCTCCAGGTCGTTCTCGAACTGAAGAGGATCTATGAGAAAGTCTTCAACAAAGGCAGCAAGAAAGGCCATATGCAGCCTGTTCTGGCCTGGAATGACTTCGTGGAGCCTAGCCAGAAGGAAATGAGGAATCTGTTTACATCAAGGTTCAAGCACCTCTTTCATCTCAGCTCGTATGAACCCATCGCAATTGCATATGAAATCTCATTCTCAGGAAGGCATGTTGTTTTTCTGGTAGGTTGGAAGCTAGTAGGGGCTCCTGGCATCGCTACGAACGGAGCGATGCCCTTTGTTCCTAGTAGCTTCTTGTTCCTAGTAGCGAGGCCAGGAGCTACTAGTTGCGTCCGATCGCTCCTAGTTCCAAGGAATTGATGCTGCTTTCAGACCTTCCAAAGCTCACAGATGGACCCCTGGTAAGCCGACAGAACACTCATTCGCTTCTTGAGTCCGAGTCCTTTGAGTCCTTTGAGTCCTGTACCTTGCGAGATTCCACAAGCACGATGGTCATCGCTTCTGGGTGGAGGCCATTCCTAGTAGGTTCCTTTTGCTATTAGCTTGGAGGCCACCGCTTCTAGGGTGGAGCCTATTCCTATCAGGTTCCTTTGGCTTCAACCAACCAGACCAAGGTCTTGAACCTTTTCATCGTCCAACGAGAACTCTTGGGAGAGGAGATGCCTGCCACAGGCACCTCCACTGCCTTGCTGATGGCGTACGAGAAAAAGCGAAAGCCGGTCTCCACGTCCCAAAGATGGGTGGATCTTGTGACAGCTGTCTCGACTGCAGCCATTATCCTGAGTCACTTGATATCGGCAAGCACGTGGTCCACAAGAAAAACGACCTGTAAGTCCCTACGGTAAAGATAGATCCTCGTTCATGTTGCATGAGAGAATTGGTGTGTTGGTTGCTTTACATGTTTGTGAATTGAGCTGTTGGAGCCTTTGTGTACCCCTTTGGATCCTTTTTTTTGGCAGCCAAGGCTTCATTTTCATGGGTGTGGCTTTGGACACCAACCCTGATTGGGTTGGCTGGCTCGTAGTGGATACGATTGTTGCACTGGTGTTTGTCGCAGAGGCACGGAGAAGAATGGGTCGAAGTCTTATTTTGGAAGTAGTGATGTTTGATGCATTCAGAAGCGCTGCTAGAAGTTTGGTCTAAAAAAGTTGTTTGTTTGTTCCATCATTTGGAGGTATTTATCAAGTCTTATGCAACTCGGATTGTGGAAGAGCCGAAAAGTTGTCTTTTTACTCTTTCTATTTTCTTTTGCTGGCCCTTAATTAAGTAAGGGACAAACTTGTAAGCTACTCGGAGCAGTTTGCTCCTAGCTAGGACGCAGGACAGCTCACGCTTCTTCAAGGAAGCTCCCCCCGCCCCAGGGCGAGCTTCCATGAAGAAGTGCTCGCACTAATGCTTTGGTTCCTAGATTGTTAGGATAACTTAGTTGTTCTAAATTTAAACTGTTGGTTTTTTGTGAGAGGCACCAAGAACTGAGGTTATTACACCGTCTGTGTATTTCCTGGGACGGGATTGCCTCTTTGCGAATAGTCTTAGCCGAATCCATCTGCTGCTTTTTTGGGCCTTTTGATCACCAAAGATTGCAACGAGGTCTTTGGAACTGCTTTGATGTTGCCCTTTCGTTGGCAGCCTGGCTTGCATATCGATGTCATATTCTCACTAGAACATCCCGTGGACAGCACTCAACAAGTCTGCAGGTTTACAGAGCAAGTCTAACTAAGTAACTGTGTGAACTGCCTCTTCTGCCGAGGTCGCAGTGGTAGAGATTTTGATAAATTTGATTTTCACAAGTGCGGGAGCACAGGCGCACCTTGGACTAAGAGTGGTTCGAAATCACAAAACAAAAAAATATTGAATCAACAGAAGATTTTTCCTGCAGACTTGAGGAGCTTTTCTCTAGACCTGTATTCATTTGTTCCTTCCTTCCTTCCTTCCTTCCTTCCTTCCTTCCTTCCTTGCCTTATTTGTTCTTCAGACCCGAATTTTCTCTTGGCTTTCTTCAGACCTATCTTCCTCTTTTTTTTTCCTTTAGACCTTTCTTCTTTTTCAATCAAGACATGATTTCTCCTGACTTGGTGACTTTCCTGAGGAAGGGGGCGCTAGTCTTGCGGGGTTTGCGATTAGCTCGAATGGCTCGGCTGGCCAAACTCATTCGGATGCCGCTGCTAGCAGAGTTGGCGAATTTGATCTCCGGTTGCTTGGGAGCAAAGCTGTTGAGTTTTGGTAGCGTCCTTGCTCCTAGTAGCGATGCCAGCAGCCCCTAGTAGCGTCCTTGCTGATGAAGCCCTTGGGATCCTTTTGTGAAAGAAGAGGAGTGTGTCTCTCTTTTGTGTACCAGTCTTTGATGAGGTTTCGTCTTGAGCGCGGTGGCCTCAGCTGTAGTGGCAGATACAAAAGTCCATCACACGAGCTTTGTCAACAAAGGTTCGATCACTCTTTTGGGTGATGATCTTCCTCGCTCTCATCGTATATGACACCTAGCAGCAGTTAGGGGATTGCCTTTTGTTTGGGTGTCCTTCAAGGGAAGAGGCAAAGTACTCTGTATGCGCTCATGCGTTTGGCTTGCTTGCATTCCAATTCCTCGTGCTTTTTGTGCGGTTTGCTTTTCTTGTTCCTGCAGTTGCAGTTTGTTTCCCTTCCTTGTTTGTTTCCTGCGGTGCCAATGTAAATCATAAAGCACCCAAGTTCCCACACCCAGGTCGTTGCACTTGGGTTCAGGGCAGCAATCCAGACCGCCACCTTTAATGAGTGCCCCTCAGCTGAGCTTTCAGCCTTTCTTTCGGCTGCTTTGATAAGGCAGTTTCACGGCGCAGGATAGAGGCAAATAGGCAACCTAATAGCGATGGCCAATGGCCTCCAACATAGTAGCGATGGCCTCCAACCTGATAGCAATTAGGCAGTTGTGAGAGTTTTCTCTGGTTAATTTTCTCAAAGCTGCAGGCGACTATAGCTCTCATTATGGCGATCACTTTGGTTTGGACGAGCTGCTTCCGTCTGGCTGCTGCTAGACAAGACGAGACAAGACAAGATCACACGGATCGCTGTTCGTGGACGAAGACCAAGGCAAAGTGCACTGTAGCAAATAGGACCCAGTAAGAATCAAACTTGAACAACCAGAGATCTTAATTTGATATAGGAGCAAGGACGCTACTAGGGGCTCCTGGCCGTACTACTAGGAGCAAGAAGCTACTAGGGGCTCCTGGCATCACTACTGGGAGCAAGGGCGCTATTGATTAACCCGTTTCTACTCCTGCTGAGTCACCCTAGTTGGTATGAGTTCTACTGCACGGCCAAGGCAAACTGCACTATATGTATGGACATGAGTTCTGTGGCTCCGTTTTTGGCTGCATGTTCTCCATCTTTCGCTGCATGATCAGTGAGTGCACTACGAAAGGCCAGACTTTCAGTGCACATCACGATCCGCACTATGTTGTGTCCTGTTGAAAAGCAATATTCTAGTTTCGCTCTGGCTGTTTCCTTCCATGGGTGAAGTTCATGACAACAGCCCCAACAAAGCTTTCGAGGTTCTTTCCAGGGATGGAAGCACACCAGCCCGGACAAGCTAGATTTGTATAAATAATGTAAGGTTCGAGCTTTTGAGAACGAGGTGGCCGGTCCCTCACAATGATCTTCAGCGATGGTATCGGCGTGGAATTTGACTTGTTTTATTCTTGCTCCATGGTCGTTGTTCCTTGGCCAAAGCTTTGCTTACCGCTGGGATGTTTTTTTCAGATCCTGTCGTGACACTTCCACAGGTGATTTTTGGGCTCTTCAATATTATCACGGCGATTTTTGTTGAGGCCACGTTGATCTTCGACCAACTTGGTGACAAGAACTGTCAAAGCATGTCAAGATGTGTGCATTTGATGTATTCTTTTGCCAGCCATCTAAGGAATGGCTTGAGGGAGAATGAGCTTCAGCGAAGATATGCGAAAGCCTACGAATCGAGTTACATGACAGAACAGCTTGCCAAGCTTGTCATGACGGTATCTACCCAAGTGGAAAAGCTGCGAAGCAGGAGAAGCGAGCGAGCACGGTCCTTTTTTGGGGACGTAAACTTCTTAGGGTAGGGACAATGGATTCAATTACCCCTTACAAACTAATGCTTCTTAGAAACAAGAACTGTTCTTTCGTTTTGGGTTCTCTTCCTTCTTCCTTTCCTTTCTTTTTATGTTTTTTAATTTCGGACTTTACTACTGTAGTGTAGGAAAGGGCTTGGCTACCCAAACTTCTCCCCCGATGACGTGGACGTCAAGTCCTTCGTCCGTTTTTCTAAAGTCAAGTCTCGTTCTCACAAAGGGCCCATAAATGCGGCACGTTGCAGCTGTGAAGCTGGAGCACAAATAGACTTAAAGCATGACCGCATGACCTATTTCTGTTTTCGATGGGTTGTGGCATGGGGTGAATTCTGAAGTCATCTTGATCTTGGTCGTTGCCGGAGGACCGCTGTGCCACTTCTCTCAGCCTTGAGGAGACATTGTCGCCTCTTTTGTTCAATCGACCGGTGTCGAACGAGTGTCTTCCTGCAGGAATTCAAATGCTCTCGCAGATGGTGAGATCTATTTGAGCTACTGGATTGAAGTAAGACATAGTCCCGCGCGCAAGCATTTGGAATGTCGAAGTGAGTCTCGTCGGACAGCTTCTCAGAAGTGCTCGATGACCGGTCAAAGGCCCTCAAAGCACAGCTGAGGTGAAGAGGAGTTCAATCAGCTTGTGAGGCATCCAGATGCAGCTTGGTATTCAGTGCCAAACGAGTGGGTTTCCGCACTGGGCACGTGAATTCCATCTTGCAACTGCTTGAGGTAAGGGTAATTCTGAATGATTTGGACGTGCTGCTGGGCTTTGTTATGTTTGTAGGCGGGTTCAGTCTTGGACCAGGGAATATATGCTAGCCGCCTTGCCATTCTGTCGAAGGATGCATGAACGACCAAGATGCAGAAGGGTAGTCATTGGAGCTTGACAATCGACAATTGGACTTAGGTGTTTCCAAGGTGTGCCTTCTGTTAAGCCTGTTGAGTTGGAGCGATCCAAGGAGCGTCGAGCCAAGATCAGGAATTTTCGAAGCCTTCAACACGGCATCTTGGCAAGGCTTGTGCTGATCCCGCCGATTCGGCCTGTGACCAAGGAAGAAGATGGAACGGTCTCTCTCTCCGAACTTGTGCATGGGCCTTTTCTTGCCATTCTGGAAAGACCACTCACTTTAGACACGTTTCTGCTAATTTTGTTCAGGTCTGGTTTGATGAGACTTCGTGGTGAACTTCACAAAGTCGACATGGTCATAGCACAGATGAGCCTGGACCAAATATTGCAGCTTGGCAACACAAATATTGAGCTTCGATATGGTTGTGGCCATCAAAATCGAACTCAGGAAACAATTCACAGCAACTCAGAGTGCACTTTGGCATTTGGTGTCGGTTGTTGCTTGGATTCCCTGACAGCTTAGGGCCTGAGACAGAAGCAGGAAGCAAGCTCAAGCAAGAGGCGCAGTTTGAAAGCTCCCTCGACATGATGATTTTTTGGAAGACGGGATTGGATTTTGACTAACGCCAATCCAATCACTGCTTTCAGTGTGTTCATTTGGCTCGCACAGCTCGTTTCACATCCAAGACAATCACCAATGCACCGCATTTGGGGCATGAGGGAATTCCCTCGAAGCTTTGCTATTTGATCTTTCTAATGGAAAGGTCGTCGTGCGAATCATGAGTTTGGTCGCAGAAATTCTGTTGCGTAAAGGAGTCGTCAAATTACGAAAGCTGAGTTAATAGGGGTTGTGCGTGGGGTGGTTTGGGCAGGGCGAATAGCGAACCCAGGTGCTGCTGGGGCAGAGCGAAAAAAGGGATCAGACCACGTATAGCCTTAAATATTTGAGGGGCTTATGCCCGACAGCGGGCCAGCAGAGGGTTCAGTGGCAGGCGACAGGGGCAAATAGGTGAGACTTGTTGTTGTTGTTGTTGTTGTGGTTGTGGTTGTGGTTGTGGTTGTGGTTGTGGTCGTTGTTCTCACTAGAAAAGGAAAGAAAGGCCTTCCAATAATGAATTCACACCTTGGGTCCGTCTTGAAGGAAGGGAGATTATACATCTTCATGCTTGACTTAAAAAAGGGCTTTGTGCACGCAAGAGCGCAAAACGCCAGCGTTTGCGAGATTTTCTAACCTTTCTGCTTTCGCATACGGCTAGCACTCGAAACGGCGACTGGTGAAGACATGTGGCAGGGTTGGAGGTGAGGATTCTGGTGCGCTTCGGAACTGTCATGTCACGAAAGCTAGCTGTAGCTAGCTGGAGTCTGTCTTGCTTTAGCAAGGAGGGTGGGAGCCCAGGACCTGAGTGCTGTTACCTGATATATCAGGACTATACCCCCCCCCTCGCGGGGTTCAAACCCTTCTCCTCCTCGGTACCTGCTGCTGCTGCTGCTGCTGCTTGGTCGCTGCTGCTGCTGCCGGCATCTCATCTGCGCCTGGCTCTTGGCTGCTTGCTGGTTGCTGCTGCTTGCTGCTTGCATGCTTGCTGCTGCTGGATGCTGGCTGCCTGCTGCTTGTTGTCTGCTCCGTTTTGCTGCTGTTGCTGTTTGGGGTTGTTGGCTGCTTTTGGTGCTGAAGAAAGCCTATTCGTTAGAATCGAGAGTAGTAAGAAGCTTGTACCCCAAAATTACAAATCAGAATGCACTATCCGCTATCCATGCAGATCAAAAGATGATACTTACTACACACATGAATGACAGAACCCAGTAAGATGTTTGAACGGGCTGTTTGCTTCACTCATGGTAGTCCGCGTTCCATGTTCGAGCGACAGGGAGCATGCACAAGCGTTGCGACGGAGTCTTCGGTCGCTGACACATGTTCGCATGCAACCACTAGATGTCAATCATGCACACCGCTGCTGGCTGCATCGTCAGCATTTATTCGTTGAAAAAACAGATATATCATATCTGTCTTTCCACGTCGCCCTTCTACAATTACTCAGGCAGCACCTATATGTGCTATTGTTCGAGACCAAATGTTGGGGCACGAAAGACTCTAAGGAAAGCTCACTCTTTCCCTGCTACTGCTGCTGATGCTGCTGCTGGCTGCTTGCTGCTGCTGCTTAGTAGCTGCTGCTGCTGCTGCTTGGTAGCTGCTGCTGCTGCTTGGTAGCTGCTGCTGCTGCTTGGTAGCTGCTTGTGCTGCTGCTGCTGCTGCTGCTTGGTAGCTGGCGCTGCTGCTTGCTAGCTACTCCTGCTGCTGCTTCTGCTGCTACTTGGTGGCTTCTGCTTGCTACCGCTGCCGCTGCTGGTTATAGTTATTGTTGTTGTGGCTGTTGCTGCTGCTGCGGTTGCTGGGGTGGTTGTGTGTTGCTGTGTGTTGGCTGTGTTATTCGCTGTTGGCACTCTCCTTTTCCCTTGGCCATGGCATGTTGCAATTCTCGGCCACGCTTTTGCTGCCTAAAGAGCCCCAGCGTTGTTTCTACCTAGCTTTCGCCACCCCCTTCTGTGCCATAAGTAACAGCAGACGCGCCGATGGAGCAAGATCGAGCTTCGTAATACCCCAAATAAGGCGCTTGGTACGTCATATGAGGTTTAATCGAATTTTTCAAAACCTTTAATTTTAGGTTTTTTTTAATGATAGATATGAAGTAATGATTGTATATAGTTGTTTTTATGTTTGAATTATTAATATAAAGTATCTAAATAAAGTAAATTATATAATTGGATTTCTATAATTTTAACATTTTAATATTATTTGATGATTTTTTTTAAATTACGAAAGTTAGTGAAGCTAGTTGGAATTATTCTTGCGATAGTAAGATTTCTTTCGATCGGTGTAAATCTTAATCCCTGAATATTTAGGTCGAAGATCTTCTCCCCTTTCTTTCCCTCTCTATTTCTTCTTTTTTTCTTTACCTCCCTTTTCCGCACCTCTTCTTTTCTCTTCTTCTTTGTTTTCCTCCTATCGTTTTTCTTTCCTTTTTCTTTCTTCGTAAGTTCGATTTTATCTTGTCGTCGCTTTTTGGCATGCGGTTAGCGTATTATGGCCTTTTTTTAAATATTTATAATAGATATTATATTTTAAAACGGTATTTATTTTTATACTTGTTTTATAGGTATTTTCTTGGTATAAAGATGATTATATGTTATTTGGTTTGTTTGCTTTTGAGGGGAGTTTAGATTTATAGGTTCGTATATTGCAATCGTTTCTACTTTAAGACGGGTAGGATTTTGTCTTACGAAAAGGATGAACCGTTTGTCGCTTGCGCGCGGCATCTTTTTTTTTCGAGTTGATCGATTTCGAGTGCTATGAAAACCACTTCGTTTCGTGTAGTCGTTATGCATGTGTATAGGTGTCATGAATGACCGTTGTTTTTAACTTTAATAGCGATAGACTACCGATGACCGGTGGTAGGAATCCGTTCGTGAAGCTGAGCTATAGGGAAAAGGTTGTGGTGGGTATCGCAGGAGCAACACGTGTTTGTGAGAAGAGCGGCCAGTTTGAATTGGTAGCGGAGTCCGGCAAGACCGGGCCCGCTTGGACGAAAGCTGAGTAATGGCGGCTGGAGATGGAGGAGAAAGCCGGAAGCATCGATGAAGAGGTTTTCGGGCGATGGGGCAGATCTTGAGATTGATTATCGGCACTGGCGAAGATGGAATAAAGCATATTTGAGTGTATAGAAGGCCAAGGGGATTTCCGAAGACATCTATGGCAACCTCCTCTACACTTTATTGGATGGAACTATCCTGCCTACGTTCGATTCCATCTTAATGGATGACATTGTAGGGCCAGGAGGTCACGACCTTTTGTTCTAGGTGCTTGATGAAAGATTTCTTGAACAATCCATCCATGACAAGCTTGGCAAGGTGCTCGATTGTATCTTCGATCTTCGGATCGAAAAGGAGGAATCAACAGCCACCTACACTGGGGCATTCGCAGCTGCTGAATCGGAAGGGGTCCGATTCTCTTTAGTTGCGAGAGGCTACTTGCTGCTCAGGTTCCTGAAGTTGTCGCATGAGAAAAAGGCAGTGGTGATGGCAGCAGCAAGGCAGAGCTATGAGGAGAAGGATGTGGCCTCGGTCTTGAGGACCACATACCCTGATCATCTGTATCAGGCCTCGAAGCAGACGAACGTCCATGTGACCGAGACACCGGATGAAGAATACCTGATCGAGACCCGAGGAGGAGACGGTATTCATGGCGGACTTCGAGGACGATGATAATGAACCGATTGAAGAACAAGATGCCATAAACTGCCTCCTGTCCTGGAAGCAGACGAGGGTCGGCATCGCGAAGGAGAAGCTCAATCGTGGTTTCGCAGGTGGCCGAGACTTCAAGAAACTTGAGGCCAGAGTTCGATGTTTCAAATGTAAGCAAATTGGCCATTTTAACAGGAACTGCCCATGGAAAGGGAAAGGTGGTTCGAAAGGAACTTCATCGACGATTACCTCATCTACCAGTGGGCAAACCAAAGTGAATTACGTGAACATGGCATGGCCGGTATGGTCAAATGATTTTTTTAACATTGGGATCAAGGTCAATGAACCGACCGGATGGCCTGGTCCACCAAGCTCAGATGATGATACATCGGCGGAGGAAATCATCCACATGGAACCTCCACCAGGACCTCCTCTATTTGGACAACAGATGGAGGCATTAGTCTGAGGCTGGCAATACGTCCCTCGAGACTTTTGGTATTGCGAGGGAAGCCGGATCATCAAAGAGCATGTAATCTTTTTTCTCACCTGGAGCGAGCGGATGTCCGGTGCCACTTCAAGATCTGTTAGACGTCCGAGTTACGAGAACTATCCAAGAAGATGGGACGACCACTACCATCCGGACGACCAACTGGCAACAGAGAGGACAGGCTCATGCTGGACAAGACTATCAGTGGACCGGCCAGTCGATCTTTTTCCTGCGTGACCATGAGGAGATGGATCCATCATTTTCAAGACAGAGCCGATCCATGCAGACCGAGCTGGACCAAGAGAACGACGACGTCCTTGTGGGTGAGGAGACAGAGTCAGAAAGTGAAGAACCAGCTGAAACTTTGGCGGTATTGGTCCATGGTACCGGTTTTGGTGTCCTGGATACGGGATGCGGCCGCGGCCTGGTTGGAGAGGAAACCCTCCAACGCCATGAGACTGAGCTTCGACGGCATGGTTTGGAGATAACTGAGCTTGAAGACGTTCCTCACACGTTCAGGTATGGCAATGGCTCAGCGGACAAGTCCATCAAGAGGGTCCAATTGCCCGTGTTCATCAAGGGCCGAAGGATGAGCATGCGTGTCCATGTCGTCCCTGGTGGTGTGCCACTGTTGATTTCCAAGGGATTCCTCAAGGCATTGGGACCCCAGATTGACCTCCAGAACAACACGATCGTCTTCAAGCAGGCTCACGTGACAACGGAGCTGCATGAGAAGAAGGACGGGTCGTACCAACTCAACCTGATCGACCTGTGTGCACCTCCGTCTTCTTCGTCGCACGAAGTTGATGTGCTCGAGGCTATGGAAGAGGGCGGAAGCGATGGAGAGAAAGACGTCTTCACGGGTGACTTCACCATCAACCCGGAATATAACACCGGTGAGGTTGACCAGATTGAGAATGACCAGGAGGCTGAGTCCCTGGAGGAGACGCCCAGCGATGGAGTTGACCGAAATGGCTGCTCTTCGAACGAGACTGAGGACAATGACGGTGAGAACGCCAACACGCTGGACGATGCGGGCTCGAATGAAACTTCTGACGGCATCATGGAGAGCGAGAGCGACTGGAAAGAAGACGATGCAGTTTCTCTCATGGTGTTCAAGTCAGAAGAAAGGAAAAAGGTGCAAAACAACCTCGTGGAAGTGCTCAGGACAAAGGAGGACGAGGCCCCGACGGTGATTGAAGTATTCTGCCCAGGGCGCTTTGCGGAGATGACAGAGTCATGTGGATTACGATCCCAAGGATCATTCGACCTGAGTGACGGCTGGGACTGGACCATCAAGGAACATCGTGACCGAGTGGAGATGACCATCGACATGGGCGACCCCGACTTGGTGATCATGTCACCTCATGTGGGCCGCTGTCACGAATGCAGGCCTGCACTCCGATGGAGAAGCCGAAGGACCCGGAGCAGTTCCGTCGGGAGATCATCGAGGCAAAAGCCATGGTGGCATGGTGCTGCAAGCTGGCTCGGAAACAATGAGATCGTGGCAAGCATTTTCTTTTTGAATACTCTCAGGCAAGTCAAGCCTGGCAACATCCATGTGTCCGTGAATTGCAAGAACGATGCGATGGATGCTGGATTGATGTCCCAGCATGTGCAGTAGGCCTTCGTGATCCTTTCACCCACAAGCTGTTTGGCCAACGATGGTCCTTCTTGACCGACGCTGGAGGCATCGCCATGGAGTTGGCGGAGTTGAAGTGCGATGGCCAAAATGATCATCAGCGAGTGGAAGGAATATCACAAGGCCAGATGCGTTCCGTCCTGATCCAAGGGTACCCTAGAAAATTGATCAGGCACATCCTGTGTGGTTTTTCGGCAAATAAACAACATTCATATTGGTGTTGGGCCATAAGCCAGGCTGATGTTCAGCACAAAACTGGAGAAACTGCAAACCGATCTCATGTGCAACATGCCTTGAAGAAAATGCATATCAATCTCGGTCACGCCTCGCAAGCTGACATGGTGAGAAATTGAAGCATCATGGTGCTTAAGATTGCGTGCTGGAACAGGTCAGGGCCTTCCAGTGTGACCTGTGTGACGCAAGGCGTGCACCTAAAGCGGTGAAGCAGAGCTCGGTGCCTCGAGACCTTGCCCCATTGAGATACGTTGGCTTGGCATATGACATGGTCGTGGTCGCTCCTTCTCCTCGAAAACAATGACTGTCGATCAACCTCAGTGGGATGCGGATCTTGCAAGTGGCCCGTGACTGACTCACATTTTTGAGGAAGTCGTCGGCATTCTCAGATGCTTGACTGGCCATGATCTCCATCAGCGATCTCACCTCTTTCTCGGTCAGACCTGAAGTGCTCACTTTCACCATCTGTCTCAAATTGGGTTGTTCACTCAAATGAACAAAAAGGCAGTTGAGCCAGTCGCTGCCAGCTGCATGTTGGCACTCTCGGAACTCATCTGGTGTGTGCTATTCAACATGACACCCCTCAAATTGTCCATGGCATTGGCGTTCTCTTTTGTGAGGGCATCTGTAAGTTGCAACCACGTTCGAACCCACCTAATTCGACCTTGGATTTTACTCAGTAGATCTCGGATGATCACTAGGTCAATGGCCACCCTCTTGTCAGACACACTGCTCGGGGAAGCAAATGTTTGCAAATGATAAAAAATTGACTTGCAATCTGTGATGGCCTGGATGTTCAACTCACGCGAAAATGAAGCACGCTCCTTCAACGAAAATGAACAATGTTTGGCTTCCATATTCATGCACCCTATCCACTCAGTATGCCCCAATGCATCTGAAAGCACCTGTGTTTAACCAGCAAAAGTGCTACCAACAACTCGCTTCAAGCGGTAGCTCTTCCACGTGGCAGGCGACCATTTTGCTGTTTGTCCACTTTCTAGGTTGGGGTCTGTCATCCCACTGATGTATCCAGACTGTGTTCCACACTTCTTTGCGTTTCCAAAGGCTGCATCACTGTGAACACACACATTCGCAGTTGATCAAAAGGAATTGGTAAAATCTTGCAAGTGGAGCTGCGAAACTGCTTAGCCCTTCGCACGACATTTCCGATTGTCCGAGCCTGACCAAGAATGGGGTTTGGAAGGAGTTGTTGACCTTGACTAACTTGAACTGCTAAATCAGGTCTCGTTTCCTTTGCCAACCAAAGAGCTCCACCCAGAGTCGACTTCAGCGACGAGGCTTCTTGACTCGTCACTTCAACATCTGGATTTGCCCTACGAGGCAACTGGCTGATGGCCTTACAAAAGAAAGCGGCCGTGGCTTGGTGGTTGCGCTACGGAAAGCTGAAGCTCATCTGGGACCCAACGTATAAGGCCGCCAAGAAAAAGACCCAAGATGAGTTGAAAGCCAGCTTGCAGGAGAGCTCTGTGTTCACCACCTTTGTATAAACCTCATCAAGCACTTCCCACAGCTGGCACTGAGCTCCCTGAGAAGGACTCCTTCCCCGGTGGCATGCATGGGGATGAGAACCACATTGAATATGTTTACATGGCAGTCACAAATGCCACAGTCTTCCACCTGCTTGAGGCTTGTGAGTGTGCCCTTGTGACTGAAAGACCTTTGTGGTGCTGAATGACCACCGGGTGGTTCCGAGCCATGGCATGTGCTGGCCTTGCTTGGCCTATGAGCACCACCTCCAGAACCTCATGGTGTGGACTGTGCTTCTGCTGCTGCCGGTGTCGCTGCTGACGCCACTGGAGAATCGGCAACCCCAGTTGGAAGCAACAACTTCATGATGATTGCTGTGCACGGTGCGTTGCTTGTTCCTTGGCACATATTTTATGCTGAGTCGTGCCGAAGTTCAAGTACATGCCGTGGCCATGTCCTCCCATGCTGCGACCCAGATTGACGAAACACCAGTCACACGCAGGTTGAGGGCAGAGGTTGAGGAATGACAGCTGCGCACTACGGAATAGCAGTCTGGCCATCGCCAATGTGAACTATGCTGGGGAGCTGATGTATCGAGCTCCGGTGCGTGGCTGAGCTGGAGTGTCCTCTTCACCGTGGAATCTATGTGGCAAAAGCATGGCCGCAAGCTCCACATCGATCCTCGATGCAGCTCCCTCGCAGGCCGTGACAGAGGAACGTAGATTTTTTTGAGCCTTGTGCCTTGTGCAGTGGCCGCATTTTGCCGAGATCATGTCCAGATCTCAGGAGGTACAGCCTCAGCGAAGAAGGCGCAGTTTCCATGGCAGAAAAGATGACTGCATGTCATTTGGTTTGCTTGCTTTTGAGGTGAGTCCAGGTTCACAGGTTCGCATATCGCAACCGTTTCCACCTCAAGACGGGTGGGACTTTGTCCTGCGAAAAGGGTGCGTGTTTGCTGCCTGCGCGCGGCATCTTTCTGATCGACTTCGAGTGCGATCGTTTGCTCCGCACTTGGAATGATGGCAATGAATCGAATTATGATGAGTGGATGGTTTGGCGTAATTAAACTGGATACGATATTTTTTTTATAAATTGATTAAAAATTGTATTTTTAATGATATCTATTATAATGGATTTGTGTCCACAAAATGCCCATTCTAAATTCTATTAATTTTTAATAATTCGTAGAGCCATCATTAAACCTGAATAGGTCACCTTTCATATAATCTTCCCTCTATTTTTGGAGACTTCAATACTCCATTGCGCGAGGTCAAATCGTACATATGCACACATGATCAGAAATTCAAGAAGTTCCTCACAATGACAGGTTTTTCTTTTTAAAAAAATTCAATTATTGAGTTTCGTTTTGTGTACCACATTATAAGCAAGCTTTTTTGATATACTTTTGTATATGGTACCCAAATGTTTCGCATTGATTATATATTTATGAACGAATACCAGCTCAGATGGAATAATTTGATCCTGTTGTTCATTACCCTTTGAACATATCCAAAGATATTTGAGCATATCCTTGCCTGGATGGTTTGCAACGTCAATTCGCAATGATTGTCCTTTTGCCATTGATCATTTTCGTCTTCGAAAGGGATCATACGCCTCAATGGGAATAGTTTGATCGAGCAGCACGGAACCTCATCCGTATGTATATTGAAATTTGTACAAGGATTAATAATCCCCGGCTACCACAGTCTAGAGTCGAAAGATTGAACTTCAATTGCGGTAGCTATGTATCGATCACTTCCTTCGTAGTCAGCTCTTTGACTGGCATGGACGCATTCATAATCTATATCCCAAGTAACCTAGACAGAGAATATACAAATATTTGACATGTATGGAGCGCCCTTGTTCCCACAATTTGAGCTGGAAAGGGTTCAATCATTCTTCGGTGACCTATATCATGATTCGTCCTTCCAGTATATTGCTCCACCTGGACTCACTCGATTGTCCGTCACTGAGATTGATTGAATTTATGAACCAATTTCGCCATCTTCCGTTGCCTGAAGCCTTGGCACCTGATGGGATCCCTACTTTGCTTTGGAAGCATTTTAAATTAGAACTCGGGCCAATCCTATATGGAGATATTAGACGTCATTATATATTATATATATTTTCGTTGTTGATAAATTCGGTTTTTGTATTTGGCGTAAGGGATTTTTTTAGGATAATGGAAATGTATTTTTATAGATGTATAGCTTAAAAATTATATGAAGGATAATAAAATTGAGACGATTTATGTTCATGGTTACATATATTAATACGAAATTTCCGTATTATGTATATTTAATGCATAACTTATTAATTTTGCCAATGAAAATTTATCTATTAGATTTTGTTCACAATATACTATTTATTATTTAGTTAGTTTTGGTTTTAAGAACTCTAGTTTTGTTTAATAGCTTTAGTTTGGGATAGTGTTAGCTTTAAGAGATTTAATTTTATTTTTTTTCCAAATTTAATAGTTCTAATTTTTGTTTGCGTAAGGGACTTTATCAATTTTATGTGCAGAGTTCGTGCCAGTCAGTGTAACACTTTGGGAAACTCCATCTGAATTGTGTGGCAGGCCTTTGTAGACCTTTACGTGCCAGATAAATTTCGTGGCAATTTCTGAACGTTTATGCTTCTCCGAACCTCGACGGGGAAGTTCCGCGGAACGAGAATTGCGGAACAAACGGTCTCGGCATATGGTCGAACTATGATTGAAATTTTTATGTTTTGCTTGAAATATAAATTTCGTGATGGGCACATTGCTTCACCTCCATATCTGGGGACTCTTTATGGACCTCTATATGTTTTATTCCGTGGCAGGCACAGAAATTTGTGAACCCCGATGTGTAAAACTTGTCGCTTTCACTTCATTGTGGGTACCATCTTGTTTTGTCAAAGCCTGCAACACATGCCTTTTCCAACAGATTTATTCTTTTGTAAACTTCCGCGGGCAGCTTGCCCAGGAACTGCTTGTGGAAAGGGCTGTACAATTTGTATTCCATATTATGGCTGATTCCCTGGCGTATAAAATATTTTGTATGTTCAGGACCAATATGACAAATTTTTGTTTCTTTTTTAAGGAGGATTGTCTGTTGAATCTGCATTTTTGATAGACTTGCGATTTTATTGCTTT